GGCAGTTCTTACTATTGCCGCCTCATAGATTTATATGCATGTGCGTGTGCACATGTGTGTATGTGTGCGTGTGTGTGAGACAGTGAGACAGTGAAGGAGAGAGACTGCGTGTGTGGGAATGTGCATGTGTGTGTGTCAACGTGAGAGTGTGCGTGTGAAAGAGGGTGTGTGTGTGTGTATATAATGTGGTAGGGTCACGTGTAGCAGTGAGGCCGTCCTCATGGGTATGGAACTTGGCTATCAGCGTCAACTCAGCGATTTTGCATTGTTGTGTATCTTGAAGTCCACCCGAAGATCAGAGGCTGATTGCCCTTGACTGCTGGAGTGCTCCCCTACTGGGAGGGAACACCCCTATCTGGTGATTGTTGCACAGTGTCCATTCACCTGCTGTTGTAGCATCTGCATGGTCTCACCAATATACCATGCCTTGGGGCATCCTTGCCTACAGTGTATGAGATAGACAACATTTCCCGAGTCTCACAAGTGTCTGCTGCGCAAGTTGTGGGTAGTGTTTCCACATGTGAAGGTAGTGTCCACGTCGATGATCTGACATGTCTTGCAGATGTTTCCATGGCAGGGTTGTGTGGTGTTGTGGTCGATGTTGTCCTGAAAGCAGGGTAGTTTGCTGTGAATAATGGTCTATTTAAGGTTTGACGGCTGTTTTGAAGGCGTGAAGTGGAGGCGTAGGGAAAATTGTGGCGAGGTGCTCATCATCATTGATAATGTGTTGAAGGCTGCAAAGAACATGACGAAGTTTCTCTGCTCCAGGGAAGTACTGGATGATGAAGGGTACTCTATCGAACATATCCCATGTTTGTCTTCTGACAATGTCATTACGGTTTTTTGCTGTGGCACATCAGAATTGGCAATTGATGAGTTGAGCATTGTATCCCGTTCTTATGAGGGTGTCCTTTCTCTCCTTCAGGTGTCCGTCGCGTTCCCCCTCATCTGAGCAGATCCTGTGTATTGTAGGGCTTGTCCATAGGAGATGGCTTTTTTAACACATTTAGGGTGGAAGCTAAAGAAGTGCAGCATTGTGAAGTTATCCGTAGGCTTGCAGTAGAGTGAGTTACTGAGGTGTCCATCCTTGATGGAGATGTGTGTCCAAGAATGAGACTGATTCTAAAGAGTAGTCGATGGTAAGTCTGATAGTGGGATGAAACTTGTTGGAATCACTAAAACAACTATACAGTGATATCTCACTATGAGCCCAAAGGAAGAAAATGTCATCAATATATCTGGTGTACAGCATTGGTTGGACACTCTGTGCAGCGAAGAAGTCTTGTCCAAACTTGTGCAAATGTTGGCATATTGAGTTGCAAATTTGGTCCCCATGGCTGTTCCATGCATCAGAATGAAGAACTGGTTGTCGAGGATGAAGCAGATGAGTTATAGGATGGCGTCTGGAAATTGGTAGTTGTTGGTATTAAGTACTGAGGCTGTTGCAGTGATGCTGTTGTCATGGGGAATGCTGATGTAGAGTGCTAAAATGCCCATTGTGATGAGGAATGTTCCTTGTTCGACTTGTCTGTGGGTGCTGAGTTTCTGTAAGAAATCTGTAGTGTCGCGAAAGGAGCTGGGAGTTCCTTGTACAATGGGTTTCAAAATGCCCTCAACATCACCAGAGAGGTTCTCCCACAAGGTCCCATTGCTTGATGCAATAGGATGTTCAGGTGTGTTGTCTTTGTGTATCCTCGGAAGGCAGTAGAAGTCCCCTAAACGAGAAGTACGTGGGATGAGAGTGCATAAGGTACTCTGAAGGACTGGATCAAAGTCATGATCGGTCTATTGAGTTGATGGGTGTGTTTTCTGGTCAGATCAGCAGGTAGTTGTCTGTAGTGTTCCTAGTTGGTTAGTTATTGGTACACTTCTTTGCAGTAGTCAAAATATGAGAAGTAAATTTTTTGTACTATACTATTTGTATATTTTGGATGCTGCTTGGGAGAACATAAGGCTGACTGTGGTTGACAAAAGGCCAATGCATGGCTCAATTCTTGTTTGAACTGAAGTAGATTTGGGTCCTTCCTCCTCACCTCCCTATTGCTTTGTGAATGGTGCCTCTCAAACCACATAACCAATCTACTCTCTTCAATGGAGGAAGATGCATATTATCACTCATGGACTATGGCTAATTACCTACTTTATAAAATCAGGTCAATAGGGAATCTTGTGCTGCAGTGATAGTGATCCTACCCCTGAGCCAGAATCATCCAACCCACTCCAAAGGTGTATAATAATATATCTCAACAGGTTGAATAGAAAATACTTCTTAAAAATTAAGTGAATGAATGTTTTGACATTGTGCAACTGTTTAAGCTGATTAGATCTTGAATTTATCTGCAATTGGGATCTAATAGCTGGTCAGGTTGTTCTTTAATTGGGGTAAAAGGTGATAATGGTTTTCCACTTTTGCTTCTTGCATACTGACTTCTGCAGGTAAGTGCAGAGATTGGATACAGTTAAGATCAGGTTGGGCTGTAACTCTATTCCCTCATCCACCAGCCTTGTGACATCTAGCTGTGCAGCACAGGTGACTTCTGCACCTCATTTCAGCAAGTGTTCTGGGGTCACAGTGGAGTAATTTTATTTAGATAATTTTGGTTTGTATCAGTTCCATTCATATTGGGTATTCTTTAAGTTACAAGTAGGTTTATAGAACTGAATAGCCTGATAAATCATTTCTGAGGCCAGTTAAGAGCCAAATATATGGCTGTAGGATTGGATTCCTGTATTGGCTAGGCTGAGTAGTGAACTGAAGATTCCTTCCCTGAAGATCATTGATTGAACATGTTAGGATTTTATGACAATCGGACAGCGACATTGTTACTTCACCGGTACCAACCTTGTATCTCCTCAATTCAAATTCTCAAACTGGGATTTGCACTCACATTCTTTGGATATTTAGCACAGACCTATTACATATGCTAGGGTTTGATATAGGCATAATGCTACCATACCACAACACATGGTCTCTTGTCTAGACATTTACAGCCTGTTGTGCAATTATAATGGAAACTTGGGTGAGGCAGGAGGGAACAGACTGCCCTGTGCAATGGTAAAATTTTACAAGCCACCAAGTTCAGATGAATAGGGAGAGAAAATTGGGGAAAAATATTGTTATTAAGAGCCCATGACATTTTTTGAGCAGTTACATATTTTTATGTTGATTGCCTTCTTCTGTTCAATTGCTTCCCTGAAATAGATGGCAGTATCACTACTCAGGTTGAATATTACTGTCCTAAGACATGCATTATTAACTGAAATCATGCCTGACAAATATGAAAAGCCGACAGTTCAAGCAAAGCAATCAGTCTTTTGGCTTGGAAACACGAGGCATCAGTGG